ACTTTATAAAGATCTACTGTTTATGACCATTTATTGGTTTTACCTCTTCTCTTTATTGAGGTTATGAGGGGTGGGGGGGGATGATGTGATTTTTCAAATAAGCCCCTGCAATATCTACATTGTGATTGGTCAAAACAAAGATTGAGTAAAACGTGCATGCATTTAGGCATTTAACCTTCAAGATGAAGATTGACTAGCCTCCCACATCAATGATCAACCCCATATAGAAACAAGTAGGCCAGTTCGTAAGTTGTTTTTAAATTTATATTCTCATATATAACTGGGAAAGTTGTCTTGTGCCATCTGTTTTCTTTGCAGTTCTTGGCACAAATTGTTGAGAAATTGGAGGTGCTTATAAAGTCATTTACACATCTAGACAAAGAGTTTGCTCAGTCGAGGCAAATAACCAAATCACTCAAATCTTTGAAAAGCATGGATGAAGTTTTACTTATGAAAAATGGATTAGATGGAGTTTCCGGAAACAGCATTCACATAAAAGCAAAACTCTCTTGGGCTACATTACATTCACTTCTTCATTCAAAGAGAGCTGCTTGTCGTCATAATGGCCATCTATGGTTGGGTGATCTGCTGATTGCAGAAATTGCTGAGGGAAAGGATGAAAGTATATGGTCAAGCATCAGAAAATTGCAGCAGAAAGTTGAAGCCCTTGCCGATGTTAATGATTACTCACCCAATTTAGATATCCCTTTATCCATTTGGCTCATGTTTGGGATGCTGAAGTCAAAAAACAACCTTATTAGAATGGGATTCCTTTTTGTTTTAGAGAGGCTTCTCATGCGGTGTAAATTTTTGTTGGATGAGAGTGAAGTCCAACATGTGATCGGCGGTGACACTATTGAAAATCTACATGACAAGAGCCGCCTTGAAAAAGCAAATGCAGTAATAGATATTATGAGTAGTGCATTGTCCCTGATGGCCCAGTTAAATGAAACAGACTGCATGAATATATTGAAGGTACTTCATTCTAGAGCTCTTTCTTTCGGAAACTATTTCATCACCAGCTGCTAATGAGGACCGGAATAACTAATGTGCTTGTGCATGAAGTTTCCATAAAATATTTCATTCTTTAGGTTAAATATTTTTTTTGAAGGCATTCTTTAGGTTAACTATTGATGCAAATGTCTATGGGCACCACCAATTGTCAGTAGTGACCTATAAAATGTATGGAACAATTTGTTGGGAAATTAAACACACAACACACACAAATAATCTGCGAGAATCAAGAGAGAAACGGAACACAAACGACACACAAGAATTTAACGTGGTTCGGTTTCCCTAATCCACGGCAGGAGGATTTCTATTTCACTTGTCGTGTCTCCCGGAATTACAAGTACAAGCTGTGCATATATAGGAAAACACCTAGGGTTACGAAACTTGTTCCCCAAGAAACAAGAGACAAACGGGCTAAAAATAAGATGGGCCGATCCAAGTCGGGCCCAAACGTATCTAGCCTCCACAAAACCCAACATTCTCCCACTTGGAGGCTTTATAATCATCAACTGCCATCCGCCACGATCGTCTGTACATCGAGTAATCTTCCTTAGCTCTCTTGTTGCAGCGGCCCTCTCATCAGACAACTGAAAGGCCCGTGAGGGCTTTTGGGAGGTGCCCAAAAACAAATCCGTGAGGGCTTGGCCCAGAGCGGACAATATCATACTAATACGGGGTTGTGGTGAGGGCACGCGCAGTCCCAACACAATTGTCATGGTTTCTTACCTTTTTGACAACCAATAATACCACGAACATCCTTTTTAGACTTATTAAGCACAAATCATATACATAAATGTATCATGTTGCCTGGAATGATGTGAGAACTGTATGTGCTTATGTTGTTCATATTGATGATAAGTTTTCATCAATTATTGGCTTCAATTTTGCAGATGTGTGAAATTCTGCTGTCACAATTATGCCTTAAAGTGCTTTCCTCTACATCTGGTGTTAAAGAAACTGGCTGGAGTAAGAAGGGTGATGCAGGGGATCTTCATTCTCAGCATCTTGAGGAACCTTTCAAAGAACCCAATACCAAATATGGAAAGAGTAAAGACCCGCAACTATGTGAAACTGCATCCATGTCAACACTGCTTCTTCATGGGCAAGCTGTTGCTCCTATGCAATTGGTTGGACGCGTCCCTACTGTTCTGTTTTATTGGCCACTAATTCAACTTGCTGGTGCTGCAACAGACAACATTGCATTAGGTGTTTCGGTTGGTAGTAAAGGAAGAGGAAATGTTCCTGGTGCCACTTCAGATATACGAGCTACACTATTATTACTTTTAATTGGTAAATGCACGGAAGATCCTGCAGCTTTCGAAGATGTTGGAGGAGAACCATTCTTTAGGTGATGTACTTTTCTGGTTTGAAGAAACTTTTACACACTCCCACGACTATTAGGCCACTCTTCCCTTTGGTCCTGGACTAGAAATTCTTTCCACTCCTGGTCCATGTCTATGGATTCCTTGCAACTTCTGGTTATATCTACGTAATTCGTAGTCATGCATCTTAAGTGCAAAAATGGAAGTTAGGAACTTAAAGTGGGAAAGACCCAATAGTCGTGGCATGAACTATGAAACTTTTTCTGGTTAGAATCAGAACCATCTTTGTTAGGTGGTTGTAGCTTGTTCATTGAACTTTTTGTGTATGGGTGTTTTTCAGAGCATTACTGGAAGATATAGATTCAAGAGTTGCATATTACTCTTCTACTTTCCTTCTAAAGGCAAGTATTTTTCTTGCTTTAATGATTTTGAGCTTTAGGGTTCAGAAATTACTCCACAATTTATTATTACTTCACTTCTGATAGTAAAAATGGTCAAATGTATCTTGCAGAAGAGGATGTCTGAAGAACCTGAAAGTTACCAGCGTTTGCTACATAATCTTGTTTCAAGAGCTCAGCAGGTAAGAACACATTCAAATGACTATGTTCAACATAGTATCTCTGAATTTGAATATGATCAAATGGAATTGTGATGTTTTATTTTTCAGAGCAACAATGAAAAATTATTGGAGAATCCGTACCTCCAGATGCGGGGCATACTTCAACTATCAAGTGACTAATCCTATGTCTTTTCTCACCTTCAACAATCTGCCAAGTGCCAACTGAAAATTATTGATGCATTTCAGTTGTAGTAATAACAAAATTCCAGTGCTGGAAAATCCATGGCCAATGTGCAGTTCTTTATTCTATCAGGCTAAAATGAGGTTTGACCATTATGCAAAGCATACACTTGATTCTGTCCACTAGAGATATGTTGAAGCCCATGGTGTTTTGTGGAAGCAGTGTCGGGAACTCTAGCCCAAGTATGTAGGAGGTGGTTAAGAAGCTCCATGTTTCACTCAAAGCATTTGAAGGCTGGTGGCATATTTCAAGAATGTGTAGGCAAAAAGATGACAAGGATGTTGGTTGACTTTCCCAAGGAAGTTCCAGCATCGAGCCATCTTCAGGTACTGATTACTCCAAATTTTATTTAGTACTCTATGCTTTTCTTTGAACTTTCAATTTCATGGTGTTTTCATCACTTTCTCCATTTCATGGTCTGCCATGTGTGTATGCAGACCTTGCCCCTACTGGAAAGTAAACAGACTGTTTCCAAGACCCTCCAGCGTTCAAGCGGCATAGCTAATAAAAGTAATAAAATAGCATTGGAGATACAGAAAACCGAGAAAACACAGAAAAAATACAGCACCTAGAGGCAAAGAACAAATAACAAAGGAAAGTATATTGCAAATAGAGAGCACCAAGCATACCAAGCACACAAGTAAAGAAAACTACCACCTAGCCCAAAGCGCCTCCACAACTAGTCTAATCTTAGCTACCCAAACGCTCCTATCTAAGTACAAAATCTTATACCTACCATGTAACCAAATTTCAGCTGCTAGATAATGCACTTCAAAAAGGAAAATGCAAAAACAAAGAACATCAAGGGTCCGTTTGGAACTTTGTTAATGCTAGGGAAAGAAAGTAGAGGGGAAATTTGGAATGAAAAGGACATGCTGAAAACAAAGCATTAGGTTCAAACTCAATAATTTTACCATAGGTATTCCTTCAAACTCATTTTTTTTATCTCTATGGTATAGACACCAAGAAATTTGAACGTATGAAAAAGTTTTAAGCACATTTTTTATGTCATTTTCCTTTTTGTTTTTCGAGGTAAATCCAAACAAGACAATAACTTGCCTTAATATTTCCCACTTCTCTTGTCATTTTGTCCTTGATCCATACATACCCCAAAGGTATCATGCGGATGAGAATATATCATGCACAACTAAAATTAATCACCCCCCACCCACCAAATGATGATCATGCCTAGTGATAGCACTATATGTTTTCATGCTTTGAATGCCAGCAGGTAACTGTATATGACTGCATCAACTTTTAGATATGGTGAATATTGTACAGTACATACATCACCGAGGAGCATACATCCGTGTTTTTCACCCCACGGAGGATGGAGGCCGCGATGGTGTTTGTGGAATTGTGTTTTACTTAAAGTAGAATAACTTAGGGATCCTTTGAGGATGGATTTTACTCCATCCAGATGCTGCAACAAAGTGATGCCATTTTTGTCCTCTCCAAACACTCCCTAACTTGTGGTAAATAGGTTCTCTTTATCTGTGTCCAAATGCATTAAGCTTTGATTTTTTTTGAAGGTTTTTTTTTAATTTTAAAGAAGTTATTGCCCTCCATACCTATTGTGTAGTAATGAAGGGCTATATATATATATATTCTCATGATATAGAACTACAAATGAATTTTCAAGTGGCTATTTTGGTTTAGCATTTTTTCCTGTATTACTTTAGCAATGGTGTTGTAGAAGATGTAATGAATGCTAAATCTGCAAAGAATGGTGTAAATTGAGGAACACTGCACACTTTGGATGGAATGAATTAGTAGTATACTCATCAATTTGCACATAAGTATTTACAGTTTTACTCTATCCGTCCCAATTTAAATCGCATGTTTCAGTTAATGATATTTGATTGAAATTATTTTCAATGTAATTTATTAGAAAATTATAACGGAATTAAAAATAAAGTTTACGTATTAAAAAATCACATCAAAAGTTTTACGAAATAAGTTGTATCATGACTATATTATTATACGGAGTATAGAGTATCAAATAAGTAACGCAAATATGAAAAAAATGAATGACTTTTGATCTTGTGAACAATTAACATTTAACTCAATTTGGGATTGAGGGAGTACTATGAATTTGTTCTTTTAGACTAGTGAATTAAAATTTGGGATGGAGCAAGTTAGTTGTGATCTTAATTACAATTTGATGATTTGAATTAAAATTAGTTAAAAAAACTAAATTGAATGTAACTGAACTTAAGTCAATTAAAAATTGGTTTCAATTTTAATTCAACAAATAGTTAGAATTCTCTAGATAGGAGTAACAATTATGGAAATGTCAAAATAGGAGTCATAAATCTTTTAAGATCAATATAACAATTTACATTACCATTGTTATACTGTTACACTTGTCGTATTGTTACATTCTAAACTTTGTAACTGTCACAATATTATCTATTGCCGTCGGCCACCAGATTGCCACCGTGAATGGCAAATAATTGATTGATCACAATGACATATTACATTGTCCTCACTATTTTATAACAATGTCAATGCGTATTCTTATACTACAGCGTTATTGTACACCTATTTTAGTCATAAAAGACATATACTCTTAGGTATTTTTATATTCGTATTTTTTTACTTGTATCTAGGGAGATTTTTTTCACAAATATTGTACGAAATATATTTAATACTCCCTTCGTCTCAATTTAAATCTTTTGTTTTGGTTTACGATGTTTGACTGTAAAAGTTAATTCATTAAAAATAAAGAGGGTAATTCAACCCCAAAATAATTAATTAATTAAAGACTTGTAATTAAAAATAAAGACAGTAATGAATGAATTAATTGAAGACTTGTGTTTCTTGAATTCTTCTTCTTCTTCATTCAATTCTTCTTCTTCTTCTTCACTCAATCCATGGCCGGAGAACAATTACAGTGATAAAGTTCTTCTTCCGGTGCGCCGCCTATGGTGCGTAATACTCCCTGCAGTCGAGACAGAAGGGGCCGCCGTAGTCCTCCGTGCTCTCGTCGTACTCCTTCAACGAATATATCGCGCACCCGCACCCCCCGCACCTCGCCACCATCCCCTCATCCTCCTCCTCCGTCATCAGGTCCCGATTCCGCCATATCTCCACCGTCCCGGTCACCACCACCCCGCCCTTGCGGCGGCGCGTGGCGTTCCTGGCTGCGCGCGTGAGGATCCTGGCGAGCCTTGCGAGGAGGCGGGGGCGCATCCCCCCGGCGGGGTACATGGAGCGGATGATCCGGGACCTGACGAAGATGTCGGCTGCGGTGGGGGAGCGGAGGAGGCCGGCGGCGGAGGGGAGGAGGAATGAGGCGGAGTCCTCGGCGGAGTGGACGTCGGTGATCAGCTCGAGGAGGTGGTCGTCGATGCCGTGGATGAAGGTGTCGGTGGATTTGCGGCGGATGCGGAGGCGGAGGGAGGAAGGGGGCACGGAGGGGGACAACTTGGACTCCGTTTTGAGGGAGGCGATGCCGGACATGGTCTCCCGTGGGCCCGGCAGGGCAACCCCGTCTCTATACTTCTTCATCACCATTATTACTGCAGTAATTATCTATTTCACTAATTACTGTTCTTCAATGGAGAAATTCTGATTTGGGTGAATTCTGAGATGAAATTGATGTATGGGAGTGAGTGAATTGGGCGAGGAATTGAAGAATACACACACACACACACACACACGCACACACACACAAATCCCAAATCCTAGTAGTGATCTGATTTCCAATTTAAGAAACATTAATTTCACATTCTTGCAGCAAAAGCAACAAGTTTCCAAATTTTATCTAATAATTTTTTGTTTATTTTATTCTTGTAATCTTCCTCCAATGAAGCACGAGGGACGAAAATATACTTCAGAACCTTACAATTTATTCTTGGTAAGAACTCTAAGTACATTATCTAAAATATATTTCGGAGTCTTCAAAATTCGTGATATTATACTCAAAAGATACATCATCTCAATTAAGGCATTAGATTAAAAGTTAGTTTACTTTAACAAATTGATGAATTTTATTTTAATTTAATAAAATAATGATTATTAATGTAAAGTTTAATATTTTTTTCAAAGTAACAGAAGTATCAATTATAACGGACAAATAAACGGAATGTGCTCTTAGAGCATGAGAGTTCTTAGAGGTATCTCAGAGCATATTTCAAAAAATGTGACATGTGAGTTATTACCAAAAAAATTAGAGCAATGCTAGGGGTACACCAAAAGGTGTACTCCAAATGTACACCACCCCCTTCTCCACCACACATTTTTATTTAATTTTTATTTACTTATTTTTTTAAATTTTTTGCCTTTTTTAGTGGACAAGGAGGGGGTGGGGGACATATGGGATACACCTTTGGTGTACCCCTAGCATTTTTCAAAAATTTAAGGTACCCAATAGTAATTTTCTGCAAGGGGACAACTAGCTAGGATATCTAAAAAAAATTTAAAATTAATAATTTATTTAGTGATATAGGCATGAACCTTGCGACCAAAAGCGTCCGCAAACGGATTGAGAGCATGAACAATGGTAGGACAAAAATAGAGTGGCATATGCCGACGTAGTGTATTTCAACCAATCAGAAACGATCCTGATATGCTATGGAGTTCACTAGTGCAATTTTTACTAGCAGGAGCAATTGGACGTCGGTAGCGGAAGATCAACTTTGAGTCACCTAGTCGCCCTCGGGTGGTCTCCAACGAGGGATTGAGTAAAAGGGCCTTATTGACCAGTTGACGTGAAAGGGACAAAGGATAATGTCGTGTCCAAGACTATTCTAATCCATTTAGGAAAATGTTAGGGTGCCACCACATGGGTGCACCCATGCTTCGCACAGACAAACACAGACGATAATTCTCTGTGTCGCACAGACAATTATCGTCTGTGTTTGTCTGTACGAAGCATGGATGCACCCATGGTAGTACCTATGTGGTGGCACATGGTCCTTTCTATAAAACAAGATTGAAACTAGGACGATTATAAATTTAGACCATTCCAACACGTGTCACCCCTAATGGAGACTTAGAAGCACAGACTCTAGGACCGAACCAACGCCATTTCTACCTCTATACATGGCCCACCTGATTAATTTGACAATCTAATTGAAGGTATACAAAATACTTCTTCCATCATAATACATATTCATGATATTTAAAATGTGTAAAATATCACCTCCTTGAAGATTAAAATGCAAAACTCAGATTTTTACATTCCGGATGAAAGCAAACAAAATTTACCAATATCACCCTGCAATGGTTGTTTAATCACGACGTGTCACAAACCTTAAAAAGTTTCGGAGTAAATTAAAATTCTCAATGTTTAAGAAAGGATTATATTTCATATCAGAATATGAGGAAAAAATGAAACTTTATTTCAAGAGGAAGCTCGTGCTAAACATATAAATTAAAAATACTCCAATATGGAGTAAAACCTTATTTCAAGAGGAAGCTCATACTAAAAGGTTAAGCCAATTTATAAGTTGGTAGAGTTAGTGATTGGGTTCATTGAGAGTCATGAGACCATGTCATAGTAATTGTAAAATTTCTGTTGTCTAGGGAAAAACACAATAAGCACAACGAGATCCACTCACTTTGGAATATAAAAAAGAATTCAAAACAAACAGAGAGCTAATCTGAAGTGTAGATCATAAATTGACAAAGGTACATAAATAATTGGTTCTGGGTAAACAAAACAAGCCTTCTAATAAAAGAAACCGAGAACTTTCCCACCAACATTCTTGCGCCTTGCTTCGTCGTGGTCCATGATGCCTGCAGAGGTAGTCAGCACAATGTAGCCAAACTGCCAAGGTCAAAACAAATGTTCGTTGATGAGTACACTAAATGCTATAAACAAAATTCGCGGGAGATATAACTCGGCAATGGTCTGAGCAAAAATGGAAGGATGCAGAAGTTAACATCTGTTTGGCAGCCATAATCGGCTTGTTTGACGAATAAGTAGCTCTTGGACTTGTTCCTTTGACGGAAATGAATGCTTAAAAGACTTGAATGTTTAGAAAATTAAGAAGTTTTGTTGTCGTTAAAGCCACTCATAAAGAATCAATAAAAATGTACGGAGTACTTCTTATGGCCAGTCCCAAGAGGTAAAAGCCGACACAGATCCCCAAGGCAACAGGAAATGATATTGCACCTTTGGAGAAGCAGGAGTCCTCCCATTTGCATGAGTGACTCAACTGCTGACATCACAATGGAGCTTAGTGTGTCACAATTTCCAAAACTTGAGTCTTGCAAGCATTTAAGAGCTTGCCCCAATTAATTTTAGGATTGTCATATTCACCAAATATGCAACTGCTTAAACAACATTTTAGTTTAAAGGAAGATGGGATGGGATAGCGAGGGTAATTCATTATGTGCTGTTCCCCAAAAACTAATCCTAATTTGGGTGGAAAACCGGCATAGTGAGGTTCAGTTAATCTCATGTGATTGGTATCCTTAACCCAGTCTTGTATACACTCAAAACTTTCATTTTGATGGTTTATATGCAAACTCAACATATGATAGAAAGTTACCAACACATAGATCGTCCTCCTATAATTTCACATCTATCACAAACCATTTCATACGTTCATTTAATTATGAGCAACCATGCCTGATGAGAAGGAAACAGCTTAACTGTCCCTAAAGTGTTTGGAGGAGAAATCTAGGTAAAAGTATATTTATGTTAATGAAAATATCTGCACACCATAGTCACTGAGCTATTATACCTGTCTTGAAGGAAGCAACCTTGCAGTCCATCCTTCGATATCCTTAACCCCAACATCAAAACGAGGACTGATCACACCACACTTGTTCAACCTTCCATTGAGTTCAACCACAATTTTTCCGGCTCTGTGGTCATCAACATATTCAAACTCGCCAATGTAACCTGCAAGAGCAATAGAGCATAAAAGCATTTCACATGTGTCAAAATACCATAACAAGGAAGTAATGAACATACCATGCTTTTGCATGACCATGAGAAACTTGATGATCACTTTGGAAGAAGGTCTGATCATGACCTGACGCTTCCCTCTCTTCTCGGCATTGTACATGCTCTTGAGCGCATCATTCAGCACACTGATTCTCACCATCTTCTACAGATTCTAAAACAAAATCGTATGAAAAAACACTTTATATCGCATTTCCGATTCACTTTGCTAAAAATGAACCAACTAATTCATCAATATAGATTCGAAGTGACAAGTACATTAGAAAACCAAAACAAAAACACATATATCATACAAAAGCGTATAGGTCTCAAGCATACAATAGTCTGACGCTAAATTCAAATCTAAAATTGGAATCTATTCCGCGAGATGAAGATGAATAGCCAGAAACTTACGAGTCGACTTGTCCGGAAGGAGAATGGAGGTGCTCCGGCGGGCGGCGACGATGAGATGCGCAGCTGAATGAAGAGGAGGTAATTGATATCACTTCGGAGAAGTATAAAGGAGGGAGACCGAAGGGGTTAGGGTTTGGAGCTGCAAATGGGCTATTGGGCCGATCAATTTGGTGCTGAGCTATATATAAATAACAAATGCTATTTCATTCGATCCAGAATTCAAGGCTTGGGCTTAGATTCTATTTTGTGTAATTGTGTCTTCGACCCAAAATTCATAAAGCCCACATATCTATTTTCTGCCTACATATTTTCCGTCATGGCTATATTCCAATTTCCAACTCTCGGCGTATATGGGATAATATTGAGAAGCCCATTAACCGCTTCTAATGGGCTCTGGTGCAACAGGCGGACGAGGCAGGATATATAGGATATGATAGGATAAGCACAACTCTAACTAAAGAGCATTTTTAGAAAAAACTAAAAAATAATTTCAATGTTTTTCAATTTCATAATTACTCTTACTAATATTAGGTCCAAATATTACAAAATAAATATGCAATCATACTCACTTTGAATAAGAGCACCTTTTGATAAGAGCGCCTTCGTGAACATGGTAAAGTAATTGAATAAGAGAATAGAAATCGAGTAGGGAGATAGAAGAAATGATGGGCTACATGAATTTCTTTATTATTCTTTTCAAAGAAAGTTGGCGATTTCATTTGTCTTTGACTCAAAATTAATTAGATCTTTTGGAATTACATCATACAAATCTTCCCTTTGTGACTCTAGTAATACTAAACTACATAAGCACAACTCTAACTAAAGAGCATTTTTTTAAAAAATTAAAAAATAATTTTAATATTTTTCAATTTCATAATTACTCTTACTAATATTAGGTCCAAATATTACAAAATAAATATGCAATCATACTCATTTTCTAATATGAAGTCCCTAATATTAGTAAGAATAATTAGACATCAAAGAACTGGCGACTGTGTGATTTTGCTATCCAAATTTGAAGAAGAAAAAAATGAACCTAAAGAAACGGTGTGGGAAATAATAATGTATTTACATATAATTAGTTTTTTGAGATGATGGATAATTATAAAAATTATAAGCAATATTCTTTTTTTAATTAATAAATTTTATATATTTTTTGAAATTATAAAATAGTTGTGAATATTTTTAAAAATATGTTAAAACAATAAATTTTTTTTAAGATAGCCAGAAAGTGAAAAGT